GGGGGGGGGGGGGGGGGGGGGGGGGGGGGGGGGGGGGGGGGGGGGGGGGGGGGGGGGGGGGGGGGGCATGACAGCTTACGTCTGCGTAGTTTTGTTGTGTGGTCGGTATGGTGTGTGGTGGTCGTCGTGCCTGAAGAAAGGGGCTGTGAGGGCTTGGCGTCTTTCCCTCTCGTGGCAAGTTTCAGCTAGCTCATGCTGCTGCAGCAGCAGCAGCAGCAGAAGCAGCAGCAGTAGTCTGGGTGGGTGCGGGGAGGCGGGGCACAGCGCCTTATCACCAAGAGACGTACTCTCGAACAGTCTCTCTCTCTCTCTCTCTCTCTCTCTCTCTCTCTCTCTCTCTCTCTCTGTCTCTGNACGGAGGCACAAGTGCTGAATGCTGTTCTGGGCCATCCATGATCTATCCTCTCTCTCTCTCTCTCCCTCTCTCTCTCTCTCTCTCTCTCTCCCCCTCTCTCTCCCCTCATCTCTACCATCTCTGCCCTGGTCCTCTATCTCTCCATCTCTATATCTCTCTAATCTCTTGCTCTCGCTGTCCTCGTAACGCAAGTTGCATGCCGTGCCTCCCCTAAATCAGAAACAAATGCAAGCCAAAAAAAAAAAAAAAATGATCTTACTCGCGCCTCCTTTGCCTCATCGTCGCCCCAATAGGTGGCTGTCTGTCTCCGCACGAAGGACTTCGCCCGCTTCCTCCCGGAGTGGATCGCCTTCCACTACGCGCTAGGAGTGGACGAGATAATGATCTACGATGATGACAGCACCGACAACACCAAGGAGGTGCTCCGGCCTTTCGTCGAAGCCGGAATCGTGCGGTACATCTTCGAAGTGATCTTCGAGTACGTCAGTCAGTTGAAGCGAGATAGAACAATGGATTTGTGGTAGCTGATTAATTAGCGAGAGAATGACGCTTACACATTCAAATCAGAAGTGATCGACGGGTAAGTTAATGTAGGTAAGAACAACAGACGGAGGTATAAATCATGCCTCGTCGCTCCCCCCCTCTCTCTCTTGTCCCTTGGGTGTACTCGTACTCATAGTCATGCACGCCGTAGTCGTTAGACCATTGACCTCGCATCCCTACAAAGCCGGGACGGAGCACGCCGGGGTTCTCAACGGACCAGGCTCTCACATCACCAAGCGCGAAGCGCCGTGAGGTATTAGGCGAGTCGCATGAAGGGTGCACTGCATCCTGCTAAGGGTGTTCGGCATCTTGTGCTTACTTCCTTGCGTACGGATGACAGCTGCGTATGACTTAATTTATTTTCTGGTGCTTTTGCTCGCTGAGACAGTTGTAAGCACTGTGTAACTGCCTCGAGGGTGCTTGACCATTTGAACACAACGTGGTGCGATCATCCCCCTTGCGCGGAGTGGGGGTTCTCGACCCCGCACAACATGATGTACTCGACCACCATTATGGTTACCGCCAAAAAGAACAGAGGCAAAAACCCGGTAACCTGGTTGCATAGCTCACGAAGTGAATTGGGTTGTTTTACAACGTCTTTGCCAAGCGACGAAAACCCACTCCCGATGGCAAACACCGAGAGGGGGGTTTTCCCTTGGGGTTGGTTATTTGGTTGCGTGCGCTGCAAGCATTTTATTTTTTGTTTTTGTTTTGGGGGGGGGAAGTAGCGCTGCATATTTGGCAAAAGAGAGCAATAAATCACCGAGTATCGTTGCTCTCTTGAATTTTGTTGCCTCTCGGTGTCGGTTGCGTGGTGCGCCTACCGGTGTTCTTTTCCGCCGCAAGCCTGCCATAAGAGGGAGGGACGACGGGGAAACAGCCGTGATGTGCTTTGCGGTTAGCGGCTACGCTCGTAGGAGCAAAAACAAACGGCCATGGCGACAAGTCCTTCTGGAAATGCACCGGCGGGGTCGTCCTTGCAGGCCTCGACCACTCTGTGTGTTGGTTTGTGGCGGGGTATGCACGAAAACGAGGCATCGGCAAAGCGAAATGGCTTCCCTTGCCGTGTTGTGCACGTCTCTGCTGGCAAAAGGTCATTTGCGGCTTGTTGGAGCATCATCAATCGGTGCGAATCCGGGATGACTTCACAGATACAGCTGCTGAATTCCCCCGTCTGCTACTCCACCGATCATTTTTTTTGTCTGTTGCCGCAGCCGCATGACTCAGATGAAGCCCCTCAACCACTGCCTAGAGCAACACCTTGAGCGTAGAAGCAGAGGCGACGAGGACGCGGCGACGTGGGTGCTGTTCCACGACACGGATGAGTATCTCTACCCCTCGGACACAAGCCTCAACATCCGGGACGCCTTGGAAAAGCACCACAGGACCTGCTGCGCGCTGGTGCGAGAGGGAGATGTTGGTTAGGGAGGGTGGGTTGGGGGGAGCGGCGCACTCTTATTATCCTGCGTGCCTTAGCGGATAGACCATTGACCACGCATCCTGGAGAGGATGGAACACTCTTCCCACAGGACCGATCACCGATGATGGCCAATCATTCCGCCCTACTTTGCCAAAGGCGGCTGCGAAATCGTTTTCATGTTATCCTGCATATCTACTGTATGTATCACACATTCCCGCCCTCGTCCACTTCCTATCCCCCAGGATGTATAGCTGACCATCTTCTCCTTGCTATTCCATCAATCCCCTACCCTACCCGTCATCGTTCGCAAGGATTTGAGTGTCTGGAGACCCCTCTCCCCCCCCCCCCCCCCCC